TTAACCCCCCCCCACCTCCCTCTTCCTTCCATGGCTGAGATTATGGTCACGTGCCACCAGGCTTGTCTAGGACACAGGATTAAAGGCCACTTCAGGGATCTGGGCCTTTGAGAACTTGCTAGAAATGAAGGCCATGTCGGATTCAAGCCAGTAGCGTTGGAATCAGCTCTCCTGTGAAGAGGGTGTGATGGGTTACCTCCTCAAGGGCCTGGCGAGGACCACGTGAAGTACTCAGCTCTTGCTTGGCCCTGACGAGGGTCTCCAGCACCCAGGGCGGGGGCAGGGGAGTGAGGACTCTAAACTGAGTTGGAGGGCTTTGCTGGGGCGAGGATCAGAAGGAGCGAGAATAAATGAGACAGTTTGTTGAGACGGGTTCAGGGGGCTCTCAGTGGGGGAAGGCAGCTCGTGGGCCTTTCTCTAGGACTTTTGTTTCTAGCATGGACCCTTTTCCGTGGTGGTCTCATTCTCTAAGCCACGGGCTGGCTTCCCTGCCGTGGCTGCCATTTCTGTTCCCCACGGCCTCTTCTGGTGTGGGAACCTAGGCTGTCTTTACTCCCATCTCTGCATGCCCAGGCCCAGCACCCTCTGCCTGACGTCTCAGTCCTTCCAAATGCCTGGGACAGGAATCCGAATAGCCCTCCTTCCATCATGGGTGGAGGAGGGAAGCGGGGTGGGGGAGGGTTCTCTGGAATGGAGGGAGGGCGCTGCGTCTCTGCTTGTAGAACAGATCTCTTTGGAAGGCTCCTCTGTGTGTCTCTACTACCCAAGTGAAGGTGTGGAGATTATTTGTAGATGGCTTTGTAGGGCTTGGAGAGGAGACTGGAGACCTGCCTGGGAGCTCAGCAGATCTCCTGGAGGAAGAGGATCCAGGTCTACTCTGAAGGCTCTGAAGGGTGGGCATGTGACTGCTCAGCACTCAGCCCAGGATCTGGACCAGAGGAGAGAAAGGATGAATGATTGAATGGATGAATGGATGGATGGATGAATGAATGGCTGTCAAAGCCTGAGCGGGGTTGGCTATGAGGTCTGTCCTGAAGTTTATGGGTAATGGGGAGGTGGTTGGGGCTGGCAGGACACCCAGCAGGTTGGGGAGCTGAGCCAGTGGGTGGTGTCCAGGGGGCCCTATGACCTTTGACCTAGCAATTGCATTTCCAGGAATTTATTGAACAAATACACAAAGATACAGACGTACAGAGGCAACCTACATACACTTCCAACAAGATGGGAGCAAGAGCTACAATCTGCACTGGCGGCAGGATGTGTAGACACTTACTCAGTTGGGTTACCCAAAGCTCTTTCTGTGGCTGGGGAAGACGGTCCACTAGTGCATGAGTGACGTTTCCTGTTGTCCTTGCTGCTGGATACAGGGCACACTTGGACTTGGGAGCAAGACTGTGGGCAATTGGCCTCTGTCTTGCTCTTTTATCCAATGGCAGCCATGTTGGCTTCCACGTCAACCATCCTGGTGGAGAAGGTGGTGTGGTGTGAGCTTTGGGCACCAAGGTCCGTTGAAAGCAAGTCCCTGGAGGGTGAGCAAGTCCACGAGGGTGGGGGTGGGGCAGCGCAGCTCCAGGGCCGTGTCTGGAAGCTCTGGTGGGTGCTCTTTCTTGAGTCTGTATCACTCACTGACTTACACAAAGCCGGTTCTGTACTTACAACCAAGAGTCCCGTTGGCACAGGAGGCACTTGGCTCACACCTGCTCACTCCCCTGCCATTCTTGCTTCAAGTTGACACTGACCTGGCTTCATATTCTCCAAGACCTGGGCTTGCTTGGTAGCTCAAAATATGAGTGAGCACTTGGCCCATGATGGGCTCAGCTACTCGGAACAGCTTTGCCCTTGGCTTTGGACAGATCTGTGGATTTTCTCTTGAACATGTTTCTCTTTTCCTGGAGGAAGAGTCCTCCATGTCGCAGGGCTGGATAGTCAGAGGTGTGCTGGTTTTCTGCTTGGCTTCCTGTCGTTGTGATAAAACGCTCTGCTCAAAAGCAACGTAGGGAAACAGATGTTTCTAGGTCACAGGCCATCATAGAGGGAAGGGCAAGGCAGGGACTTCTGCAAGTACTGAAGCAGAAACCACAGAGGGAGGCTGCTTCCTGGTTCATGCTCAGCTAGCTTTCTCCTACAGCCCACCTGCCTAAGGGGTGGTGCTGCCCACAGTGGACACAGGACCCTCCCACATCAACCATCAATCAAGACAAACTCGCACAGACACGGCCCCAGGTCAGCCTGATCAAAGCAATTCTTCAATTGAGATCCCTTCTTCCCAGGTAACTCTAGGTTGTGTCTTGTCAATAAAAAATAACCAGCATAACTGGTTTAACCACCAGCTTACTGGGCAGAAAAAGCAGCCCTGATTTATAGTGCTAGCTAGTTACCATGGTGTACATTATCCCAGCATTGGGGCTACACACACACACACACACACACACACACACACACACACACACACACACACACCATGAGGATCCGGAGTCCATATGAACTTGCTCAAGAATGCCGCTGGGGCTCTTTTCTCTTAGAAATGTGTGTAATTGGAACATTGCCTCCTGATGCAGGGAGTGGATGTATGGCATGCCCTGGGGTGTCTTGCGCATCATACTTTATGTCTATATTTACTTTCCTCTTGGTGCTTAGCCCAGGCTTTGGGATAACTGGCATTTGCTCAGCTCTTACCAGACCATTAAAAAGGGAACATGTACTTCTCAGAGCAGTATGACCATGGCAACAGGGTTGAGCAGGCTCTCCTCTCCAAGGTGAACTATGAAGAGCTGCCCCTCAGGATGAGTGTGGTACCCCCTCCTCGTCACCTTCCTCCCATGAATCATCTGGGTCTTACTGTCTTTGAAGAAAGCAGTTTTCTTGTAGAAATCGATGCTCACTCAGAGGGCCCCAGGGCTCGCTTAGAAACACCCAGCTAGCACGAGGAGGCAGGCTTGGCTGTCCCTTCAAAGTATGACACTCGGAAAGTGTTGGAGCTCATGTTTAGGTTTCCTAGTGGCTTTACCCAGCAGGTCTGCATAGAGAGGATGATTGGACCATGGGCCTGAGTGCAATTTGGTCTGAGATGGTCTGCACTTGGCTGTGATGGGGTGAGGTCTTTTGCTCCACCCCTTGGCATTTCTATAAATACCCTAGGGTAGAGATAGTTGGGCCCCGATGGATTGGGGTCCAGGCCCTCTCGAGGCGATCCTGTATTTTCTGTTTATCTCTACACTCTAAATCCTTCTATCTAGTATTTCCTGCTGCTCCTACGCAAGAGTACTCTGGGGGAAATGTGGGGGTGAGGGATGGCCCCCCACAAGAAAGGACTTGTTTAGTACCAGAGCAAGAGCCTGTATTGACGGCAGGGAGACAATGAAAGTCTCCAGGTTCCCTAAAGAGTTCCCCAGAGCTTGCTCAGTGGACTGGACTAAACTAGCCAAGCGTTTCAGCTTCCTACAAAAGCCCAACCCACTCCATGTCCCTACCACACAGGGACAAGAAGCCAGCCCCCCAACAGTTGGTGTGTATAATATCCCCTCTACCCAGGTATGTGGTGGCTGGTAACAAATCCACTATTCTGAAGGCCTACAGAGCTAGGGACACATCTGTTCTCTAAAGCACTTCCTGCCAATCTTCCTCTCTACCTGAGTCAATTAGGTTTAGTGTTCCCGTGGCTTCCAGATGCTGCCCTTGGCTTCACCTTCTCCTGTCCCTTGCGGCCGCCCAGCAGGGGTTGATACCCTGGACTCATTTCTCAGAGTTTCTCAGTTTCCATTTTTGCAAGGCCAAATTTAGACTCCTGAACGTGTTGTCCTCCAGGGTCTTGCAGATGGTGGCACCTGCCTGCTTTCTAGAACATCTCCTGCTATTTACCAGCTGGCCCCTCCCCGAGGGGCATCCTGTGTGGCCATGCACAAGCTGTCCCCTCTGCGGGGTGTGTCTCTCTGCCTTCCTGCCTGGAGAGCTTGTCCCTGAAGACCAGCCTTCCTGGGTGTGCCACCTTCCACCTTGGGAAGGCATGTCCCCTGTCGTCGCATACGTGGGCACTGGGAACAACCTGTATGGCAATAGGATGGGCCTTTTTCTGCCATCAGGGCCACAGTCAGGTCTCCTTCCCCTTGGTGTCGTCAGTAGCCACTGGGCTCCAGTGGAGACGGCCACATCAGCTTCCTCCCTGACAGTTGTCCAGAATGGAGCACGGAGGGTAATATTCTGGGTGTAGACTCTGAGGAGGGGTCCCCCAGCACTCCGTGATAGGAGCAGTAGGAAGACCCCCCAAGCCTGGACCTTGTCAGGACCCTGTAACCTGAAGCTGGGTTTCTTCCCTGTCTCTTGTCTTCCTCCATCCTGCCTCTGCATCCCACACACTCCTGTCTCCTGGGAGGTGAAAGAAAATGTGAACTTCGGGGTCAGATTCCCACACACCATTCAGATCTAAGAGGGAGGGAGACACCCCTCCCTGGTCCCAGTAGGTGCCCCACCCCACCCCACCCCCATGACCTCAGTGGGGTGATGACAGTCCCGCCTGTGTCAAGGTTCATCGCTAGTGACTTTAATGTAAATCCAAGGCTTCTGTCGGCTGTGTCCCGTGATGGTTATTCTGGGCTATAAGGAAGAGAGGAGGAGGTGACGAGGGCTCCTGGGGGTGGCAGAGACTGGGGTAGAACTTTCTCTTGCTTTCTTCCAGAGGCTCGTAAGAGGGTGCATAGTGTTCTGAGCTCAGCAGGCCTCTAGGGGTGGCCTCTGGAGAAGGGGCAGGCTGGGAGTTATCTAGAGTGAAATCAACCCCTGGCCAAGGTGGAGCCAGTTCTGCTCTCAGTAAGGAGGTCATGGATGGGGCCAGGGTGCCACGGCAGGATGGGCTCTGGGGAGGCTTCTCAGAGGCCTGGTGGCTGTTGAGATCAGGCTGTGATGTACTCTAACGCATTCCACGCTGTGTAAAACAGCGATTTTCCAGACTGCACCTTGTCCTGACAGATTCCGTTTTACAGGCAGCTTTTGACTCTGTTTTAAAGATGGAGGATGACGCTGCATCTGGGTGGACCTATGAACGACACCATCTATCCAGAACCACCCATGTGGTACGGAGTGATACACGGCTTCCTCTTGGGAGCAGACAGAGAGCCACTGCACAAATTTATCAAGGTGAATTGGTGGTATAGGGGCTCGTATTTAAATAATATCAGGGAAACTAGGAAGTTACTGAACATACCAGGGAAGAATATAGTTCCATTTCCTGTACTCCTCAAGAAGAGGACAATCAACCCTGTGATGACAATGGTCCCCATGTCATCATCTGGTGTTTATATTAAAGGACCAACAGGCAGAAAACTCCTGATTGTCCCAGGGCTTCAACTTAGCTTTATCCCTGGTCTTGATATGGCCTATTTAACTGCTACCTGTCCATCCATCCATCCATCCACCCATCCACCCACCCATCCACCCACCCATCCATCCTTCCATCTGTCTGACTGTATCTGGTTCCCCTTCACTTCCCCTCACACCTCACCTGACTATGGCTGACAGCCTCAGCAGCCCCCCACCCAGGTGAGTTAGCTTACTGTGCTTTCCACAGAGACTCCATTTGTAAATCTATGAATTTCCCTGCTTCTCAGGCCTCTGCAATCTCTTGAATTTTGCTGTGGCCATTTAATTCTCTACAGCTATTCTGTAACCTATACATATGTATATTTAGAGATATATTTACACCCAGGTGTGTGTGTGTGTGTGTGTGTGTGTGTGTGTGTGTGTGTGTGTAATGTGTGAGCTGAGAGTTAATATTAGTAATTAAGGTTGTAATGGAGGGATCTGTGTTTGCCTCAGGCGAGGCCATCAAGGAGCACAGGATTCTGGTAAATTGCTGCCAGTGAGACCACCATACCTTGTGGATTTACTGTTGTTCAGTAACATTCTGACACAGTACACACTGTCTGTGACACAGTGTGCTCATGACAGAGGTCATGGAGGGAAGATGTGAAGTCTCCAGGCCTTGTGGGGGATCGGGGAACATGATGAATGGAGGAAACCTTCCCAACAAAGCTGGTAGGAAGCTGCTGGCAGCTTGGGATCTTCCACCACAGTTCACACGTGAGGGGTTTCTATTCACTTGAGCAAAGAAGGAAATTGGGACAGAGACAAGCTGACCTTGAGGACAGATGCAGAGTGAGACAGTCCAGTCACAAAAAATACATGCAGGGTTGGAGCAATGGGTTCAGCGGTTAAGAGCAGTGGCTGCTCTTCCAGAGGACTCAGGTTCAATTCCTAGCACAAGGTGTTCATAACTGTCTAACGCCAGCATTGTGGGAGGCCTGCTCCCACTTTTTAAATGGTTCCTATGAGGAGGAGAGAGGAATAAGAAATATTAGGTAGAATGATAGGCCTCGCTGACTAGAGGAAAGACAGAAACACAGGATAGCTTCGGGAGGACCTGGGTAAATATCTAACAGCCCAGAACTTTATTCAAAAGGGCTTTTTATAACAATGCCAAGGGGCGAGGCAAAAGACCTCCCCCTTGCTAGATACAGCCAAGTGTAGACCCTTCCAAACACCTGGTACCCAGGCCCGTGGTTCAATCATCCTCTTATGCAGTCCTGCTGGGTAAAGCAAGCTCAGATCTCACTAGGAAACCTCTGTGGGCTCCCACACAGCGTTGTTGATGCGAGCTACTAGAGGGACCCACATCATGGAAAGAGAGAGCGGAGTGGGTGTGACCAGGGCTGGAGAGCTACCGTTTCAGCATGGTAAAATGGGAAGGTTCTCTGGGTTATGATGGCGATGGTTCCATGAGGATCTGAATTTGAACCAGTAAGGGAGGGCAGCCCCCTCAGAGTCAGTACCCGACACACCCAGACATCAAATTCTCAGCACAAAGGAGATTTATTACCCCAGAGGGGTAAGCAGGGGGAGGCTGCAAAGGCAGACAGCAGGTGTTTTTATTTATTTATTTATTTATTTATTTATTTATTTATTTATTTATTTATTTATTTATTTATTTTGCAGGAGTGGGTTTTTAAAGAGAAAAGGGAGTCCGTGCTAGGGTGAGTTGGTAAATCCTGATTGGACAGGTTAGCCAAATAGTGAATTTTGATTGTTGGACCTTGGTGTTTTGTCTGAGGAATGAGTCAGTGGCCAGATGAAAAGACTGGACCCTGGGGACTAGCTTTAGGAATGTAATCTAACGGTTTTGAGCAAGGGGAGAAAGGTAAAAAGGCAAAGCCTGTCTGGACCATGTTTGCCGTGCTCTGGCCTGCTAGAGCCCTTCAGAATCTCAGAACCAACCTAAAAAAAAAAAAACTGGGCATGGCTGGGTATGGCTGGTCACGTCTTTAATCCCAGCACTAGGGGGGCAGAGGCAAGAGTATGTTGTGAGTTTGAGGCCAGCCTGGTCTACATAGCGAGCTTCAGGACAGCCAGAACTACACAGAGAAACCCTGTCTTGAAACAAAACAAATACACAGAAAGAAAAGAAAGGGAAAAGAGAGAGGAAACTGGGTGGGATGCCTGCCTGTGATCCCGTGCTGGGAGGTGGAAGTTCACAGGCAGGATCCCGGGGCTTGCTGGACAGCCAGTCTAGCCTAGTGTGTGGGCTCCAGAGCAGCGGGAGAGCCTGTCCCAGTGAAGAATGTGGGTGACATGTGAGGAATGGTATCCGAAGTTGTCCTCTGGCGTCCGCATGCACGTGCCAACACACGTGCACAGACACACAATGGCTAAGCCGGCTAATTTTATGTCGTGCACACTTGACCGTCCTTTAAAAAGGAAGTGTGACCGCTACTCTGAGTATGGAAGAGGAAGGGATTAAAGGATCTCTCATTTCTAGAAAAATAAAAGGCATGGGTGTGAGGGTTCCTTTTATACAGAAGGCAGGTGAAGTCAAGGGGGCTGAGGAGAGCTGGGCGAGGGTGGCCGCCCACCTCCAGGCTGCTGTTGGCATAGCCTCTAGGTCAGTGCCCTTCACACAGGAGAAAAGCTGGTAGTGCTTGTAACATTTCGAAAGGTCAGAATCACTTGGAAGTTGGGCCTGATGCCTAAATGCATGATAATAGCAAATTTAAAAATTAATTACTGGGCTCTCTCCTGCTGACACCGAGAGCAGGTGCCTCTGAGGAACGGAGAGAGACTGCCACTCAAAGATGCCAAGGTGTTTGGGGGGCCCTTTCACTGTCTCCTTCTATTCTGGGGAGCCAGCTAAGCTCTGCTTGATGCCATTGTCCAGGACAACAATACGTTTGAAATGAAAAATGTTCCAGGCGGATACAAAGGGGATGCCTTCTGGATTCCAAGCCCAGACAGGGATAAAAGAGCCATTTAACCAAGGGGAATGGAAGAGTCCCCTCAGCTGGAGCCTGGGGGACCCTGGATCACCTTTGAACTCCCCGAGCTGTATGGAAACCCCTGGAAACGGAACCGGCTGAGTGAACAGAGCACGGCTCAGCAGAGACAATGAGTGTTGAATGCTTGTTAGAGCCAAGTGTGCCAAGTGTGCCGTACAGTGCCAGCATCCTAACTCCTCTGTGGAGTGGTCCCCCCAGGTGTCCCCAGATCACTTGCTCATGGCCTCAAGCTACTACAGGCAGAGCTTCTCCGGATTCAGTGTCCACTCTGACTAACCGTGAAGTCCTTTCTGATGCATGATGGTGGCAGCCTCCTGCGCAGGTAGCCAAGGCTTAGTTGGGTTAAGTGTGAGGCTTCACTGATTCCTCCTGAGATGGGAACTATGTCTGTTCTAGTCAGTATGGCTGTGGTTTGCTGCAGAGCTGAACATCCATTCATGTTACAGCTAGTGCTGGATAACGGGGCATTGTGCTCTGAGTCTCCCTCAGGAAGCCAAGTCATGCCAGAGGAGGGGACATGGGGCTCATAGAGGAAAGGCTTCATTTTTAAAATATTTATTTACTTATTGATGTG